TGCTGAAAAGGTCAGATATTGGTATTTTGTGCTGCAGTCGGCTGTCTGTCTAAATACTGCCTTCTTGTGCTTGCTGGATGTGATGTTGTTTCACTGTGAGTTCCGCATAAACAGATGAGGCAACTATAATGTGTCTTAAAATTGGGATTGTAGCTAAACAAGAGGATTTAAGCGCAGGTTACTATGTACTCAGTCAAAACAGTGGGAGAGCTGTGTGGTACAGACAGCCCCAATTAGGAAGGCTAAGCCTGCGGGAGAATCTATCTTGCTTTAAAACCTGCTTTTTGTATATAAAATTGAGGAACTACTTCGAGGATTGTGTGAGGTTATCCTACAGATGCCTGTTAAACGTTTTAATCCACAGCTGCAACTTTTAAGGTCAGACAGCTTATTTCTCACATTGCTGCTTGTTGTTTATTCTTAATCGAAGCACCACTTCAGAGGATGGTAATATATACGATGCTCAAGCCCTAACAGCAAATAAGAGTTTCCAACTGTCAGCACCATCGTAATCTTCGTTCCATTGCACCTTGCATTTAAGTATTATTCACAAAAACTGCTACGAGTAAATAAAGTCACCTAGAGGAACACAGGCAGCTTAAATTAAGGCTTTAATGTAATTTAAGGTGTGGATGTCCTAATTTCCCCACAGGGTATCTGAATTCAGTTGCCACATCTCTGGGTGCTGCCAGGTCTTTGATACGCTGGAGGACTATGAGCACCACTACAACACGCTGCACAGGAATGTCTGCTCCTTCTGCAAGCGCTCCTTTCCATCCGGACATCTCTTGGATATTCACATCTTGGAGTGGCACGACTCGCTTTTCCAGATAATGGCTGAGAAGCAAAACATGGTGAGTCGACGTGCCCAGCCCTTCACTCATGGTTGGTGTGCATGATATGGGCTGGCACCCTTGGAGACCGACCATTTGAGGAGGGTAGCCATGTCACCAGCTGACACTGCTTGCCTTTTCCAATTACGTCTTTTTTTCTTTTTTCCTTCCCTCCCTTTCAGTACAAGTGTTTGGTAGAAGGCTGTGTGGAGAAATTCAAGAGCAGCAAGGACAGAAAGGATCACTTGGTCACTGTTCACCTTTATCCTGCTGACTTTCGTTTTGATAGGCCCAAGAAAGTGAAAAGGTAACTGCAGAACTACAATAGCACAGCTGGTTTTTCCCTGTAGAGATGATGTTGTGCTCCTCTGCTGTCGCACTGCCTGTCCAGAGTAAGCAAGTTTATACCCTAATATTAACTCCTAAGAGTTAATATTATATCCTAAGAGGCTTACCTAAGAACAGGTTAACTTGCAAGTATTTCTGTGGCAATGTTTTACTTTATCTTAAATGCTGAAGTGCATCGTGGCTCCAGGCTCTGCTCCCTTTGTGCCATCTCAAGTGTAAAAGCAAAGACCAGCGTCTCTCTACTTCACTTTATGCACGTTTCTTCCTTTGCTTTCCAACCCTTTGCAATATTCCCGTTCTCAAAAAGCACAAGTAGAGTAGAGGGAGGCTTTGTAAGTTTGGTGAACAGCTTTTGCAGCTGACCGCTCATTTAAAGCCCTGCTTCCATCACAGGGATTAATACAAGAACTGATGTTGTTTAACACCTTCATCAGAAACCTAGGTGACAGGATGGAGAGAAATTTTCTTGCCTGGCAGGGTGATATGGCCCTGGAATGGGTGCCCAAAAGGGCAGGGGCCTGAGTCTGTAGAGTCTTTTCAAAGCTTGCTTGAGTAGCCTGGTGTAAGCCCTGTGAACCATCTAGTCAAACCCTCTGAGCCCGTTGAATGAGTTATGCTTTATGGACTGAAGAAAAGAACTTGGGGACAAAGCTGTGTGCTGTAATGCAGCAACCCTGAATACTTAAGTAGGGATTCATACAAGCCTATGATGCAGCTGTCCTTCAGCCTTTTGGCTGCTCCTGGTGATTTGCGCCGCCAAATCTCTCTGCCTCCGTGCAGTAACTCACCCAAGTTGGGCTTGACCGGTTTCATCATGAAATACCTTTCATTTCCTTTGCTTTGGGCTTATGTGGCAGCTACTGAGAAAGGATGTAAAATTTTATCTCTGCAGTGGTCCCAAGCACGTGAGCTCTTCTGCAAAGCAGAGTGCCAGCGTGCCGATGGATGTGAGTGTGGAGATGTTGGGGCAATTCCAGGTGGACCTCATGGAAACAGAGCCCAGTGAGAACATGGAGATCCCTCAGCCTGCAGCCAGCCTCAACCCCTCAGTGCCAGAGAAACGACTCTATAAATCCAGGTCTGTACTGTGGGCCCCCAAGGGCAAAAATTCCTGGGGCTAGGACCGTATCATCTTAATTGCATTTTGCAGTGCCTAGTGCAACACAGCTCAGGGTGTTTCTGTGTTGGAAGATAAGAGGTAGGATTTCCATGTGTGTTCTAAAAGCCATTTTTAAAAGAGGAAAGCGTGAGGAAGGACAGAGTGTGTGTACGCCGTGAAAGCCGTATCAATAAGTTTCTGTTAGTCTGCCCACCCATGATCTCTTCCCGGGGTATTACAGAATGGCGTGGGTGTAAAGATGAGAACTCTGTCCTAAAATACTCAAAACAAGTTTCGTTCCTGCTTTGTAACACTTTCCCATCGTAGCTGACTCTGGGCTGAGCTGGTGCGTTTCACTGTAGCTGTCTGCTCTCGTACAGTCACAGGACAAGGCACAAATAAAGCAGGTGAACATCCTGCTCTGGAATCTTACATTTTGCAAGGTGGTTTTTCTATTTGTTTGGGGGTTTTTTTAATAACGTCTTCACAAGAAGTTGAAACTGAATTGCCTAATGCTGGCTTGGCTTTTGAAATCCCCCTCATGTGCTTTACGTAAAACCTGTACGAGAAACAAGGTAGCCATCAAAAGGTCACCCCCCTCTTCCCAGTACCCAGATTGGTGTCATTTTATTCATCACTTTGTCTCTCAGCATAAAGTTTAATATGGTTTTGCCTGAACTATTCCAGTTAGCAAAGGGATTCTTGTCTTTTGAGTTTGCCGCACTTGTGACACGCTGGCAGTCTAGAAGCAGCGCGATGAGCCCACGACTGCGCTGGAAAACCCACTTCTGTCCTTAGCTCCCTCTCGCTTTCAGTGGCATCAGCTCTGCCTCTGTAAAATGAGGTGAGCGTTGCTGTTCCAGGGCTTTCGAATGAGTTGCGGAGTCTGAAAGCGCTCACGACGCACTACAGCCAGTTGGGTTTGCTTTTGTATGTCGTGGTTTGCCTAACAAAATCCCATCCCTAAGCAGCTGCCACGGTGACATTTTAAACTTCACTGCTTTGTCCAGCATAACAGCTTCTAAACCAAAAAGAAGCCGTCCCTTTAATTCGATGTGATGCTGCAGGTCAAAAGGAGAATTTGCTGCTGAAAGGCCACGCTTCTACTGCTGCTTCTGCTCTCCTCTTCACAATAGTGTGCTTCCACAAAAAAAACACTGCAACTGCCCATTGGCGTATTATATTTTGTAACACCTTACACCCAGTTGTAAAGAGAGAAGAAGCCTCCAGAACATAAATGTGCAGAATAAATGGGAAAGGAGACCAGTATTTCACCCATTTTTTGAATTACACTTTGATGATTTAGATGTCCTGCTCTTCCAATACCTTGCGCTTCCCACTCTGGGAGCTTGAAATGCTACACAAGGTGATGAAATGCTACACCATGCATCCCGGTGATCCTACAAAAGGTGGGCTGTTCATGTATATTGAAGCGCATCTCCCTTTTCAGGATTCCATCCACAATTTGCTTTGGACAAGGTGCCACCCGAGGATTCAAAGGGCCAAGGAAAAAAGTCTGAAGGTCAGTGCACCAGATTTATGCAAGATGAGAAGGCGCCGGCTGCTGCCGCCCACAAACGTTAGCGATAGCACCGTGGCTGAGCAGGGATATTTGCAGTTGCTTACGAGTGTCCCGCTCAGTACTGGGAAGGCAGAAGGACCAAAACGGGGATTGTGTGGCAGCAGTTTGGGATACATCGAATCCTTGGGAGGCGCTTTGCTACAATCCCTTCGTCTCGCTCTACTGCCTCCCGTTGGCGGCGTTTCGGAGCCGACCCATGCTTATATTTATCGTTCCTGAGACACAACACTCTCTTTCCTGATCCCCTCTGAAATCAAACTACAAATAAATTCACTTGCCTCTGTGCTGTGGATTTTTGTATCTCATCGGTGCCAGGACCACTCTGGGCAGCAGTAGCTTTCTAGATAGATGATCGCATCTTGCCTGAGTTTGCAAATGGTACTGTTCTGAAACTCCAGGCAGCTGCGGGGATCGCACAGGCTTTGTGAAAAACTTGTAAGGAATCGCTGCTGAAAATGCAGCAGGGATAACGCCGAGCAAAACACACTGCGTTTCCTCTTCCTGCAGGAAGCCCTGCATCACATCAGCCTCCTCAGCTGGCCTGGCGGCCCAATGTCACGCTTCCCTGCCAGCCCTGCTTGCACAGGGGAGAATCAAAATAAAATCGGGAGGAAGAGAGGTGTAGATTACAACAATTAATTTAATTCTTTTAATTTCGTTCTTTCATTTTCTCACAGTGTTTTTAAAAGCTCCCAGTGAGGACAGCCCTTGCGACAGCACGCAGACGTGGGGCAGGTTGAACTCTGCACCAGTTACTCGCAGAAAGAGTCTCAGACTGCGGTGGAGCACTGATATGGAGGTGAGAGGAAATCAGCTGCTGGAGCTGAGACTGTGCAGGATTTTTTTTTTAATTTTTTTTGCCTTTTGTGGGGGGGAAAAAATAGATTCAAGAAATTCCAAGACAAAATCTGCTGACTGTACGGAAACTGGAACTACTGATGAAGAAAGAAAACAGAAAAAACAGTAGTCCTTGATTCTGACCTTTTCCATCTCACTGGAATCTGCTCCGGTCCCCAGCGCTTGCTCTGAAACCAACACAGAAGTTTTGCCCAGGCCAGGGAAAGCATTCCAGTGCCTTGCAGCTGATTTCTGTGGGGAGTTAAAGTAAAGTGACTTCCCACTAGGTGAATAAATAAAAGGAATTTTTACAAAATTGCTTCACAGAGAATTGAAATGCTGTTTTGAAGCCCAGGCAGAGTCAGACGTGAAGAATGACCTCCCTTTGCTCCAGATAGATACCCGCAAAATCAGGTTGAGATGGAGGTTCTTTTTCCTCTCATCTTTCCCTTCCTTTTTAATTTCATCCTGCCAGGAGGAAAGATTGATTGGAAACCCAGAGCCAGGCTCAGTGTGCTGCCACCAGATCTCGGGGTCCTGTTGAACTGTGACACTTAGAAAATTGTCCATAAAGGGGAAAAAAAAAAAAAAAAGCGCTTGCTGGAATGGCATTTATGCAAGAAGCTTAGGATCTATAATTGCTTTTTTTCCCTCCCCCCTGCCTCTTCGCCGGGAGGAACAAAGGATAAAAAGGGCTTTGAAAAAAAAATCCTTGCAAATAGGAGCAGGGAATGATGCTTACAGAGACGTAAGAGATTTCCCTGTGAGTTTTAAAATGCTTTGCCCTGAGAGACGGGCCATGGTACAGACCCAGGAAGACCAGGCTCTGTCACCACCTTTGTGGCCAGCACCTTGGTGCTCCTGCCCCATGTCTGCCCAAGGACGTCTATCAGCAGTGACCAGCAATGACCAAAAATCACTTTCCAACACTGGAAGCCCCTAATAAGGCTTTCCCCCCACCGCTGGAATAACAAAATTTGAAGCAGGCACTACATTGCTGGAGATGCCTGTGGGCTTTGGCATATGATGGTGCAAGGATCATGCAGAAGCAGCCTAATCTGCTCTCCCTCATGTGTTTAGGTCCCAAGTTTCCACCTGGAAATTCCTTCCTTCCTTTTTCCCAGACTCCAGGTCTCCGAGTGTCTGCCCTTACTGTAAAAAAAATAAAAAATTGCAATTACAGCCTCAAGGCTCATGACTAGCTCTCTTGTGGGTTACCAGCTTTTTCAGAGTCCATGGGCAAGTCTTTCGAAAGGCCAGCGGCTTTCAAAAATCCTTATTTCAAACCAAAATTTGGATTTCCCTTTTTTCTGCCTTGTGGGATTTGTCGTAAGCAAAATTTTCCGGCCTCTTGCTTATTTGTGCAGGCAGGAGCAGGTGGAGTTACCCGGCAGAACCCACCTGCAGGACACACGCTGGTCGGACGCACACATACGCACACGCCAGCAAACAACCGCGTGGAGGCAAACGCAAGCACCAAGCGGGACTCAGGTAGCACATGTGCATGCACACTGGCACAATCCACGTGCGTGTACAAGCGTGCACAGCAGATGCACATGCATAGCACATGTTTGCAGGCAAGGACATACATGGCCCAGGATGCACACGAGTGTATTACATGTGTACGGCATGTACCTGCATGCACCACACACGCACAAACACGGACGAGTGCAAACATGGGGCACACAACACCAGCACAGCAAACGCATAGAAAAGTGCAGTACACACCTGTGCACGTGTGTGTGCAAGCATACAGCCCACAGGCACGTGTACGTCCAGCACATGTGCACAGCACGTGCGTGCATGTATATATGTGCCATGCAGATGACGCATGCGTGCACGCACGTAGGGCACACGTACAGCGTGCACACACGTGCAGAAGCGTGCAACAAAGCGTGGACTCGCAGGCATAGCCAAGCAGGCAGGTAGATGGTGTGCACATACGCAGAGATCACCTGCACGCACAGAGCGCACGACCCTGCACCCCTGCCCCGGGCAATCGATGCTCACCTCTCTCTGAGCGCAGAGCACCCCACTGCCCAGCGGGCAAGCAAAGCTAACTGGGATGAAGCGTGCAAGGTGGGCTGGCCTGCAGTTTATTTTACTTAAGCATGAAAAATAATATCAAAGTCTCCAGTAAAACTCCACTCCTTCATCCCATTACAGTGTATGACGTGAATTAATATTTATATTAACAGAATTAATACACTTGCATAGTATAAAATTGATAAGAAAGGGAATTTTTATAATGCATTCAGCATGTCCTCGGGCTTCTCCCTGCGTGCAGGGCTGTAAACAAAGCATGGCTCGGCCCCTCCAGCATCTGGATGGCAAAGCTGCTGCCAGGAGCTTGCCTTCGCCCAGCCCTGCGTGCGAACAGGGTCCCTCGGGTGAAATACGGTGTAACCCGTCACGGCAGGGTCGGGGAGGGGCAGAGGCTTTGGACGCACACACACAACTCTGAAGCTTATCTCCTAGGGTGGGAAAAAAAAAAAAAAGCATTGGCAAATGGTTTGAGGACTGAAAGCCCCCCAAATCACCCTTTTTCCTCCTGTTGTAGGAGAGAGAAAGGTGCCCATGTGATGGAGATGGATCCCATCAGGCTGGACATGAAAGGAAGAGGAAGGGTTGCAACTGATCTGGGGGCGCGCTGAAGGCCACGGCAGGAGCGAGACATCGGCGCCTGCACCAGCAGAGAAGTGAGACGAGGTTCTCCCCTGCAGTATCCTGCACAGGGCAAGAGGAAGCAGCTCCATGCCGGAGGCCACCATCTTGCTGGGACATCTCCTGGGACTCCCCAGCCTCACGGAAGCTGCTGGGGCTTTTGGGTGCGGGATGAGGACCACATTCCTTGCAGAGATCGTCTGTCAACAGGAGGACACAGACCTGCCTGCCCTGCAGCACCTATTTTAGAGTTGCGAGCATTTTCCAAGCTTTGCAATGCAACTTCCAGCTACAGGAGCATGATCTAACATCCCCAAGCTGTCGGGAAGCCACAGGAGAGGTTTGAGCAGCCTGGGGCATTGGAAAAGTCCCAGAGGTGGCAGAGGAGCAGGCAGCAGAGGGAGGGGGACCAGCCATGGGGCTGGATGAGGCTCCGCTCCTTTTACTGGGTTTACTGAAGCTGACCTCATTTGGCCACGTCACTGCTGAGCAAACGCCTGTACCCTGGCAGCCTCATGGGAGCCATCCGTGTGTACCGGCAGGCACTGCTGACCCCTTCATCCTCCTGCCTGCTTTGCCTGCACCACCTCCTCCGTCCCTCTCTGGGGCCTTTGGGGCAATCCAGCTCCTTGGAGAGGGCTTCAGCCCAGGCATCCTGCTGCAGCCACCGCCCCAGCGTGGTTTGATTTCAGATGGCAAATTCATCTCTTCAGCTTCCGATGAGTCGGAAAAGCTCGTGCTTTTCTATAGGTTGAGGTTGGATGGGGCTTTTCTACCTGATCCAGGGGAAGTTGTCCCTGCCCATGGTAGGAAGTGTTGGACTGGATGATCTTGGAAGGTC